ACATCCCGTTGTCAAAACGGGTGTTGGATGGTGTGTATTGTGAAAGATTTGGAGCACTAGCTGTTGAAGGAACCGATGAATAACACGGCTGATTTTCATTGCATCCCTCTCTTATCAGTGTACGCGGATTCGTTAGGTCTGTAGACTGGCTGATTTCCGGTTGCGTTTTGATCAATCACGGGGGTGCGTTTCATATTGTACTTGATACACGGGGGTAAGCCGGGCCGTGCAAGTGTTGTCCTTCGGGGCATCCGTTGTAGGGGAGGCTGGCAACGTGCTGGGGGTGAGTAGAGCTGCTGGGTGGGGGGACTGCCCCTGGCCATGGGCAGACGTGTGGGGACACGACGTAGGGCGTAGGAGCGGGAATCAACAATGTGGGTCACGGGGAGACCCGCGGTCCATAAGGTGTTGGGTAACGCTTTAAAAGTAAACAAATAAAAAGTTGAATGATAGTTAGCATAGTAGTATGGCATTTACTAAACATCCGTATGATTTTATAATACATTTTTGTCCCCCCCCCCCCATTCATCGTCACTCGTCATCGCAAAACGTTAGCTCCCCTCTACATTAAACAACGTCACATCTCAGCCTATCGTATAGAAAGTGCAGAAGTTTGTTACCATTATAAAATGTAGTTTTATTATTATTATTATATTGACTAAGCTCGGCCAAAATTGAGCATATGGATAAATTTTATTTACAATTATAACAACAAAAAATAAAATTTTCATGATGCAAAATTACGGTTTAAAATTCAGCCTCAAATATTAAATTTTATTCAAACTTTGTAAACACAACATCCTTCATTCTCAGCTTCACAAAAATCCCCACCCCTCCCGTCTCCGCTAGAAGTGTTATGTATTAATAGACAACCTCTATCATAAATTAATGCCACTAAGCTAGTGCTAAAGCTTAGATAGAAACCAACATTTTTTAATTTTTATTTTAGAGAGTTTTTACTATATCCATTAACATTAAACAACACATGTTATTTCCTCAATCGACCTTTCCAAATCGACCGTTTTGGTTTAGTTTGACTCTTATCACCGTACTTAGCCCAATTTAAGCTGCTTTAATAGGTCCAGGTTTGAAATCAATAGCCCAGTGCACAATATCAGTGAGTGACAATAGTTTAACTGAACTGTTTGAACAGCTTTGGGATTTATTGTTGTTTATTGTAAAATCTCATAGGTGTAGATAAATTTAAGGTAGATATATCACAGTCGGCTCTAATTATAATGGATCGGGTTAATATTTTTTTTTAATAAAATGGTTATGCCTTATTAGATTCAAAGATAATTAATTCAATAATTTATTTAAAACGCTAAAAATAGCCGCAAATGTTAAAAAATAATCCCATTTAAAAAAAAAAACATTACATTTGGTCCACAATCGATCTCTCCCCTGACTTTGATAAACCCCCAAAACTTTCATGGTTACTCATGATCACTAAAAGTCACAACCCACACCCTCCACCAAAAGTAAAATTTTTCTTTTATAATACGCCTTTTTCTTTCTACAATATTAATCTAGTTATGCGAAGAGCGGGTCTATTAATCAATGTTTAATTCAGTTTCCAAAAAAAAAAAAATTCTATAATTGGCTAAATAACTGCTAAAATTATGTTTACGAAATACTTTTCAAAATGTAAATTTGTGACGTTACGCTTTCTTAACCCACTCCTCATAGTCACATATTATTTCGCGATTTCGAACACCCCTCACCCCACACAGGAATGTTAAATCATACACGGACGATCCCTTTGAATATAAATAAAGTATTTTCTTATTCGAAACCAAACTGTAAGCATTTAAATAAAGCGTTTTCTTATTCGAAACCAAACTGTAAGCATTTAAATAAAGCGTTTTCTTATTCAAAACCAAACTGTAAGCATATAAATAAAGCGTTTTCTTATTCGAAACCAAACTGTAACCATCTTAAACACACAGCTTGAACACAATATTTTGTGATGATAATAAAAAAACCAACTGACCTGGCGTCTTCCGTTCCTGTTTTTGTTTTTGTGGAGCTTGCAGCACGCGCCCGCGACATTTCTTGTACACACAGAAGGCGAGCAGACACATGGTGGTCAGCATGCCACAGGCTATGGTGGCCAACAGGATGGTGGTTCTGGGAAAAAATGGTGCCACAGTAGTTACATTCACATTTGATTCCTATGTTTTTGGCATGTTATTACTATAACTAAAGAGATGTATTTTTCTTGGTAGTCTGAAAAATGTTTAAAATATGTTAAGTCTAGCGACTTAATTATACAAGTTTGACATTTAGCCACCGTTACATTGAAAAAATTACAATAGTGCTCCAGTTTGGCTACTGATGACTGTCCATCAAACACATGGTTAAAAATAATTTTACTTTTCCCCCATAAATACATGTTCACAATTTTAACAAGATGGTCACTACCCTGTGTCCATTACACAAATGGTCACTGCACAGTGCTCCACAGATGGTCACTGCCCAGTGTCCATTAAACAGATGGTCACTACCCAGTGTCCATTAAACAGATGGTCACTACCCAGTGTCCCACAGATGGTCACTGCCCAGTGTTCATTAAACAGATGATCACTGCACAGTGTCCATTAAACAGATGGTCACTACCCAGTGTCCCACAGATGGTCACTGCCCAGTGTTCATTAAACAGATGATCACTGCACAGTGTCCATTAAACAGATGACCACTGCCCTATTTCCATTAAACAGATGGTCACTGCCCAGTGTCCATTAAACAGATGACCACTGCCCTATTTCCATTAACAGATAGTCACTGCCCAGTGTCCATTAAACAGATGACCACTGCCCTATTTCCATTAAACAGATAGTCACTGCCCAGTGTCCATTAAACAGATGACCACTGCCCTATTTCCATTAAACAGATAGTCACTGCCCAGTGTCCATTAAACAGATGGTCACTACCCAGTGTCCCACAGATGGCCACTGCCCAGTGTTCATTAAACAGATAGTCACTGCCCTGTGTCCATTAAACAGATGGTCACTACCCAGTGTCCCACAGATGGCCACTGCCCTGTGTCCATTAAACAGATAGTCACTGCCCTGTGTCCAGGGGCGTAGCGAGGGGGAGCGGGGGGTGCGGACCGCACCGGGTGACACCATTTAGGGGAGTGTCCATTAAACAGATGGTCACTACCCAGTGTCCCACAGATGGTCACTGCCCAGTGTCCATTAAACAGATGGTCACTACCCAGTGTCCATTAAACAGATGGTCACTACCCAGTGTCCATTAAACAGATGGTCACTACCCAGAGTCCATTAAACAGATGGTCACTGCCCAGAGTCCATTAAACAGATGGTCATTCAGGGGCGTAGCGAGGGGGGGGGGCGGGGGGTGCGGACCGGGTGACACCATTTAGGGGGGTGACACCAAGGCAAAAAAAAGCAAAATATATAGAGAAAAACTCGAGGGGGGGGTGCAAATCGAAAGTTTGAGGGGGGGGGTGCAAATCGAAAATTTGAAAGTTTGTCCCCGGGAAGGGTCTCTATGCCTCTTGGGGGGTGACACCATTAAGTGGCGCACCGGGTGACACCCGACCTCGCTACGCACTGTGGTCATTGCCTAGTTTCCATTAAATACATAATCACTGCCCAGTGCCCCATTAAACATCTACTGAGTACCCACTCGCTGAAACAGCAGAACTGGCTGTTCTTCACCCCACAACAGCCCAGGTGACAGTAGAAGGTGACGTTTTTGATCCTCTCTCCCTGGGGGCGTGACGTACACGAAGAGACACACATTTTCGCCTGCAGATAAACACACACACACATGCCTGTAATTGTTAGTTATACATTCTTGTCGATGCTTGTCCTTTATCATCAAAAGCTTTTGTGTTTTAGTGCTAGCGGCTGAACCTTATATATTGTATAGGTTTATTTTCTGACAGTCCTCCGAAAAATAACATTCATGTGTTATATGTACGAGTACATGATTGCTTAATTCGAGTTCGAATCCAACGCTAGAGTCCCTGAGCCCATGTTCCTATTCTTAATGGGATATTTGACTCTTGTCGTGGAAAACATTTTTAATGTCCGATATCAAATAAACAATTGAACTCTACTTCATCTGCCATGTTATATGTTGGGGGTCATCCATAAATGACGTCACGCTTTTTTGGACGATTTTACCTCCCCTCCTCCCCTCCGTCACACGTCGTCTCAAAAAGCCAACCACCCCCCCCCCCCCCCCCTAAAATGACGTCACACCTCCAGCCAACAACTCCCCCCCTCAAAATTGCAGTTGAATTTTTTTTTAAACATCGATATTTTTCCAAAATCTTGTCTGAACTATGTCAAAATAGAGTATTTTAATCAATTCCTATTACAATTTATTAAAACAGTTTTCTAAAACGTGAAATAACGTCTAAAATTCGTTTTCTAACATTGCTTTTTTATAATGCAAAAGTGGGACGTCGCACCATCTGACCCCCCCTCCCCCTCAGCACACACCGTCACAAAATTACGGACCCCCTCCCCCCTACGAGTGTGACGTCATTTATGGACGACCCCTTGAAGGGGTACTCTTACTTTAATTAGTGCTGCATTAAGGTTACAGCCAGTGTCAGCCTAGCAATACCAGGAAAAACAATCAGAGCATACACGACAAAATACTTTTTGCTGGTATAGAAACCCCAGTAGCGTAGCGAGGGGGGGGGGACGACATATGTACCCGGGCGCCGACCTTAGGGGGGCGCCAAAATGGGTTGGAAAATCGAAAGTTTGAGGGGGGATGCAAATTGAAATCTTGGGGGGGGGGTGCAAATCGAAAGTTTGAGGGGGGGGTGCAAATCAAAATCAATGTTTTTAGATAACCTCAACTTGTTTTTTTCTCGACAGATTATATAATTATTTAGTCTACACATCGCAAGTGTAAATACAGTGTCAGAGAACAAATAAAAACATGTCGATAAAATACATTATTTTTCTACCAGTGTTTTTCTTCTATAAACATCTTACACAAAGACGATTTTCTATTGACCACAAACTAGTAATTGAATAGTCCTCCGCAACAGTTATAATATTTGATCTCTATTCTTAACCCACAGTGTTTCTTCCAGACTTTTTTCTGCGGGTGGAGGGGGGGGGGGGGGCGGATTAAAATTTCCGGGAGGGGGGGGGGGAAGGGGGCGGTATTTTCTATATAAATTACATTTCGTTCGAGGGGGCGGGAGGGGGGGGGCGGTAAACTCTCTTCTGGGGGGGGGGGGGAGAAGACATGCCTGGAAGAAACTCCTGCTAATCCAGGGATATCTGGATATCAAAAAACCGATAAATCCTAGACGTGTACCGTCATTGATGTTCCTCTCTTCTTCTGTAACGAGATCTAAGTTCATTTTGGCGTTCACCACAACACAAATCGATTCGAGTTGTTGACTATGTAGTGTTTTCCTCTGTAAAAATGAGCCCTTCGTTCAAACGTTAACCCCAAATTGTGTTTTCGTTTTTCACAAACAATGTAAACATATTTTACTTTAAATCACAATGACCTATCAGATCATTTAAATATGATCAGAAATATTTCCGTTCACTGGCAGTGCTGTTGGCTGCCAGTAGAAACAACGTGCGCATCTTACAAACCCAAGTTTTTTTTTCCACATAGGTTATGGAATGAAGTAAAACTCATTATTTGAATGAACTTAATATTTACCAGTTGCTGTTTAGTTTAAAAAAATAAATTAAAACTAACTTCCCCTTGATAACCCTTTATCAGAATATGAAGATTCCACTGAAGATCTAGCGATCCATTGGGCACATGATTTAGCGTTAATACGTTTCTTGACCTCGTCATATGCAGGGATAATGTGGTCATGACTAAGCCAGTGATTTAGGTACCCATCAGAGCTGGTTGGACTCAGGAACGTTCCTCAGAATGGAACCCGGATTCAAACTTTAGGGTTAGCATTCTAGCTCTCTACCGCTACAGTTTTATCAGTCAGAAATTAAAAGCGACATGCAGTTAATTTTACATCTGTGTTGATGTGTTGTGTGCTATATTGACTTACACACTACTACGTCTACACTAATACCATCTCAAGCAATGCTAGTTAGACAGACAGACCTGAACAAGGTTAAGGGTCGAGTAGGTTCTCTCCAGTGTTTCTTCCAGACTTTTTTCTCCGGGGGGCACTTGAAATTTTCGGGGGGGGGGGGGGGGGCGGTAGACTTTCTTCGGGGGGCGGGAGGGGGGCGGACACTGTTAAAAGTATATATTTTCTATATAAATTATTTAAATTTCATTTCGTTCGGGGGGGGGGGGGCGGTAAAAAATTTTCCCCCGAAGGGATGCCTGGAAGAAACTCTGGTTCTCTCACCAGCCACTAGATTCGCCTGTTCCCGAAATGCCTTTGTTACCGTCTTCAGCGCATCTATGCGCACCGTAAAACTCACGGTTTGTTTTACGGTGGGGGGGGGGGGGGCCCTTGATTTATTTTTTAGAAACACCGGCACCACTAGTGGTTTTTGTGTTAGTATACCGCCATGGATCTAGACCACTCAATCTGCCATCGACTACAAATGTTGCACTTTCATTCAATCACTGATTTAGCCTTACCAAGGTGTAATTTCACCTAGCTAACGAAACAAATATCTCTGTGGGGCTTATATATAAAAGTAGAAAATATATAATTCCACGTGAGGTTGCTTTTAAAAGTTGAACAAAAGCATATCCAATTTTTTTTGTGTGTATCTCTGTGAACCCTGTCTCACCAGCCAAAACTCAAGTTACAACAAATATTTACCTCATTAATTGGAAAAGTTATCAGAGTTATTTTTTTTAGCTAAATACTGTTTTCAGGTTCCAATGTCATCAGTTTGACAAGTAAGATGTAAAAGTACTTTACACACTTGTTTTATAGTCCCTACGCTTTTTGTTTCTATTAAAAAATATACACTGCTTACAACTCGCGATTTTTGACTAATTCTAGTTTACTACGAACCTTAAGCAACAACACACATACAAGGCTGTAAAATAAAACAACAACATAGAACCTATTAGTAAAAATATATTAAAAAATAAGTTGAAGATTTGTTTTAAAAAAAAAAACCAAACGTTTATTGTAAAAATAAATAAAAAAAAAGAATGCTTATATTTTAATTGAATGTATATGATTTAAAAATAAAGCAACAATCAACACATCATTTTAAACACTCCATCGTTCAATTTGTAATTTATAAATAAATAAAAATAAAAATATGCAGAAATATATAGTAATATAGTGTAGCTGTCAGAGTACCCACATTTGCAAGTCACAAGTCACTAACATTTGCGATAAGTATATTCTAGAACATTTAATTCAATGGTTTAAATTAAGGTCCGTCTCGTACATTTAGTGTCGTTTTGAAAAGTTAAACACCTACATTTTAGGAATCAGTTTTAAAGAAAAAAAAAACATTATAAATTTTTAATTATGTGTATATCAGTAAAAAAACGCTTAAGGATATTGTGTATAAACACTAGAAAAAAAATCTTTAGAACAATAATATGATGTTTAAATAATTGCATTTTTTTATCAGTGTGACTCAATATACTATTTTAGATAAAAATAACATTTTCAAAACTAGTTTTCACTTTAAAAATGTCTGCACCAAAAGTAAAAAACTTTAAAAATTATTTAAAACAAATGAAATCCTTTTAGCAGTCATATGTTTCCATGTGTTGGTAAGATCAGATTGAACATCAGTTTAAAAAAAATATAATAAAATAATATTTATTTTTTAAGCGGATGAGGAAAAAATAAGTGAATTAATGTAGTCAGGTATGATAACAAAAGTTTTGTCACAAACATCAGAATTAGCCCTAACCAGTTTAAAACACAGTAGCAGGTTTAACTTTAACTTTCCTCAATCCCATGTCTTATACAAATTAGCAGTTAAACGTCTTTAACAATGCTAAACCTCAGTTACTAGTTTAGCTCACAGAAGCACGTTAAAACCTCTAGAAGAAAGCAAAGAATTTTTTTTTTTATTTCCTGACAAACGCTCAGATCTTTAACAACAAAAATTGTTCACAACATTTATATGAACAAACTCCAACCTATCGAACATTTCAACACACATGGTGTCCATAGATACATGTGTAACACACTTAAACTATCCCGTAGAAAAGTATGAATATAGTGTGTAAAGCTGGGACACAGGGACACACAGCAGATGATTACATTTACAATGCACTAGCTACTAGACAGTAAAACTACAAAGTGTAGAAATTTTGAGTCCTCCCCCCCCAATTATGTACTCAATAGTGTATTCCATTAAATGGTTAAAAAAAAGATACACATTTTCATCGGTTAGTTTAAACATATAGTTGAATCCAAATTATCAAATAATTTAGTGTAGCAATTTTCTAGCTGCACTGGGATTTTTAAAGTTTGACAAAGTAAAAAAAAAATGGTGATGCTAATTTTGCATAAACAGTAAAGAAATTCTCTCAACAAAAGTAAACAACAACCGGATATTCCTAAAAGCTATAACCAATAACGTCAGCAGGGTGTCGCACAATTTTAGCCCTTACAAAAACCTAAGCTTATAAATAACGTCACTAAATAAGTTAGATACCCGATATAATAAATCGTAATTAAAATAAACCCATTTTAGCGTTTTTTTATTTAAAAGAAATACAAAAAGTTAAATTGTTTTTACTACCCCAACACGTCGCGTGATAAAAGTCACCCCCTCCCCCCTTCCCCCACCCTTGTTTTTGTCAGAACAGTTCTAGACGATCATCCGCTGACGTACATGGTTAAAGCTGTGTGCTGTATGGTTCTAGCTATAGGGGGCGCTGTAGGCTGGAGGTTCAGGCGCCCCAACCTGTTTGGTCATCCCTTGGGTTTGAGGGCCGTGGTCGTAGCCGTAGTTGTAAGCTGGGGCTGGGTATGTGTAGGGGGCCGGGCCGGTGTTGTACGCTGCGGCGCCGTTGTAGTTGCCTCCGTACTGTTGAGTCGGGTAGGTGGCGTTGGCTGTTGGGTAGTCAAATAATCGAAACGATAAAAAAGGAAAAAAGACAATGATTTTATAGGTTAATTAAAATGTACTTTTGAGGGAGTAATTTGTTTTGGTTGATACGCATTGCGCGGGATTTTTTTTATATAAAAAATCCGATAATAGAATCTTCTTAAAAAGGGGTGTTTGGTTACTGGTAGTTAACTAAAATACACACATGGCGTGCTAAGGTTAATACTAACCTTATCCCTAACCCCACCCATAGTCTTACCATACGCCTAACCCTAATTTCTAACGATCAAACGAGCCGATATTACAATACTACTAACAGCCCAATACACAGAGTTTCTTCCAGGCATCTCTTCGGGGGGGGGGGGGGGGACGAAGCCCCCCCCCCTGAAAAAATTCTACCGCCCCCCCCCCCCACGAACGAAATGAATTTATATAATTTATATAGAAAATATATGCTTTTAACAGTGTCCGCCCCCGAAGAAAGTCTACCGCCCCCCCCCCCCACGAACGAAATGAATTTATATAATTTATATAGAAAATATATACTTTTAACAGTGTCCGCCCCCGAAGAAAGTCTACCGCCCCCCCCCCCCCAGAAATTTCAAGTGCCCCCCCCCCCCCGGAGAAAAAAGTCTGGAAGAAACACTGCTAATACACCTATAATAAACTTGGAAGAGTCTATTATCGGACACTGTATCTTCATTATCCAAAGGGAAAAGTGTGGGAAAAAAAAAACAACATCAATAGAACTACACATCCTAGAAAGACAACAGCGAAATATTGGCCACAAACTAAGAACTGACACTGGCAAGAAACCCAGATAAGACTTGGAATAGAACCACCCCGGGGGGAAACGACGTAGAGATGGAGCAGAGAAGACATGGTGACAGAGTGCTGGAGGAGGGTGAAAGGATAGCACAGATGACATGGTTGGGAACTGCTGGATAGAGTTACAGAAGACCGGAGACAGTGGAAAGCTTTAACGCAGACCCTATGTTCCTTAAGAAAAAAAAGTGAATCATGGTTGATACAAAATACCTCCCCTACCACAGTACATTGCTGACACAGTACGATATTAGCTTGTTGCCCATAATTACAACTGCCTCCACACTACATACTCCCTAGTAAAACGTATACGGTTCACATGTGCCAATAGATGATTTCAAAAGAAAATCTAGTCACCCCCCTTCTTCGCATGACAATAAAGACTCTTACCTATCACTAACAACAGACCCCCCCCCCAACTTTAGGCTGCTTGCTTACAACACCACCCGCCTCCAGCCTACCCACACTTAACCCCTCCCCCCCCCCCCCACCCTACTTACACGTAGCAACAGTAGGCTGCTTGCTTACAACCCCACCCACATTCCCCACCTCACTACTTACATTAGCAACGTTACATTGCCACTTAAAAACCCCACACATTTACCCCCCCCCCCCCCCTCTACTTACACGTAGCAACAGTAGGCTACTTGCTTACAACCCCACCCACATTTACCCCCACCCACAATTACCCCCCCCCCCCCCCCCCCCCCCACACCCTCCCTACTTACATGTAGCAACAGTAGGCTGCTGAGTGATGACGACAGGCTGACTGATGCGCCCCTGGATCCTTTATGTTTCAGACAGCAACAGATGACGGAGACAATGACAGACACGCCCACCAGGGCCGGCGATAAACAATTCCTACGATGTATCCAACACTGGAAATAGTTTACAACACATGAAGTACAGAGCAACAGCACCAAAGGCATCTACACCAACAAAAGCTTCAACTACCATAGTAATAGTCGTAAAGTCTGAATGTAAACATTAATATTAAAGAAAAATGGTAATAATACAATTACATTAGCAAAATATACAACTGTATCAGTATAGTTACCAGTAACAACAACAGTAACAGCACAGTACCATTACCAACCATAACCACAACCACAACCATTAACATTAACATTACCATACATTACCATAACATTACCATAACATAACCATTAACATTATCATTAGCATTAGCATTAACGTTAACGTTAACATTAACATCAACATCAACATTAACATTAATGTTAACATTAACATTAACGTTAACAACATTAACGTTAAAAACATATACATTAACACTACCATTAACAGCACCAGTAACAGTTACACTAAAGACGACAACAATAACTATAATAACAACAGCAGCAACAGTAACAAATAAACCAAACGAGACCGACACTGACAACATTAACAATACATACTTGCCAATGCAGCAGTACTCATAGTCATAATTGCCGCAACACCCAAAAGGACACCATTTCTCTGTATCAATAAACAAACCTCTTCGATGACAGTACTCCCCTAAAGCTGAACCTAGAAAACGAATCGAGATTGAAAGCAATTATACTTGTGTGAGTTTCTAATAAAGCATACTCCCATTCTTGTCTGCAACACTATGCTATCAGTTAAAGACACGTCTCAACACAAGTTTTAAACCCATTCACCTCAACCTTCAAACATCGCTAAGAAGATAAGATAATAAAATAACGTCAAATTAGTTATATTTTGCCTTTCATTAAACAGCTATATCTGTATACTAAATTAATGCAGCTTGCTATAAGTTAAGGTACCATAGATTGTTTTATTTTAGTTTACAACAACGACAAAAAAGCAGTCAATCTAAAACAAACTGCTAACTTAAAAAAAATGCAAAAGTGTAAAGTTACACGTTCTTGCCATCCGAATTCCGATCCAGACCCCACCGTACGACTCCATTTATTTATTGTTCCATATTTGTGGTAATAAAGGTCAGTGGCGTAGCTACCGTAAAGCTAGCGTAAGCCAGGCATAGGGGCCCAAGGAACACAGGGGCCCTTTTCCCTCGTTGAAAAAATTAAACCTTTTACATTGAAATTTAAATATTTGTTTTATATAATTATTTAAAAAATAAAATGGAAATCCACTTTCTTATTTACTGTAGAATTATTAGAAAATTCCCCCAAAAAATGCCCCCAGTCTTTTCATAGTGTAGAAGCCGTGACAATCAGTGGGGGGGGGGGGGAGGGGAGGGTGTGTCGGACAGGGCCAACCCGTATCAATAACACTACAGGCGTTACTGCAAGCCGTAGAAACAATTAGCCTATAAATAAACATTTTAGCTATTATTTCTAAAAAAAATTATTTCGGAGGGAGGCGCCCCAGCAGTAGAGTAGGACGGTTAGTTTTCGCCACCCAGGTTCTCCCAGCGGCTATCTTAGCACCTGAGGTTCGTTGATTGGACGTCCTGCACAGCGGGTCAGTGTTACTACTTGATTCAACTCTCAATTTACACAGGCGCCTCATCCGGGATCCGTTTATTTGGCGTCCATGAAGTGATAACGTTTGTATAGGGGCCCGAAAATCCTAGCTGTGCCACTGGGTAAGGTATTGACGTATTGGGTATCATGGTTAATCCCGTAAAGGTTAGCCGTGTACGTTTTAGTTAACTCTAAAAACACACACACGTAATTTATCCAAGAAACCATTCTTTTATCTCTGCCCAAATATCCAAAATATAACCTTATCTGCCGAGAGTGTTATGTAAACTCTGTCCTCTAACCGATTCTTTTTAAACGGGTTAAATTTTCAAGCAAACACGACTGTTGGTCTGCTATCAGCTCTAAAGATAGTGGCTAGGGGTAGCAGGATTTCTGTATTTGTTTGAGTAGGATTTGGCTGGTTTAAATCTGATGTGCTATGTTATACAACCAGATAAAACGGCGGTATGAGGCCATAAGACACAACGTATGGATGTTTTATATTTAAAACAACACGATGGGATAGGCGAGTGGTTTGGGTTTTACATTGTTATATGGGGTGGTATAGTTGGGTGGACCTCTTTACAATTGTGCGGAGTGGGGGGGGGGGGGCTTTTAAAGTACTGTGGTAGAGTGTGCCTCTTTAGTGTGATAAGGTATCCCTCTTTATAGCAGTGTGGTTGGGCGGCCCTCTATAAAGTAATTGTAATAGGGTGGCCCTCTTAATAGGTTGCCCTTCATTACAATAGTGTGGTAGGGCACCCATCTTTACAGTAATAACAAGATACCCCATTTTACATGTCAATGGCATCATATATAGTAGCCTGCACACATCGATAGAACGAAAATCTCCAACACACACCAATATAACCAGAAACAGCAATCAAATACTCGATAACACCTTAAATCGATGACTTTATCTCTGCTGGACTTAGCTAGCAAATAAGGGTTAGGTTTTTTTGAAGTAGGGGCATACACAAGCCTGTAGCTATGGACGTCTCAAAGTTTATCAAGGTCTACACAAGTACACATATATGGTTTACTAGGGTACCAGTAGCGTAGCGAGGGGGGGGGGGGGACATATGTCCCCGGGCGCCGACCTTAGGGGGCGCCAAAATGGGTTGGAAAAATAAATCGAAAGTTTGAGGAGGTGGAAATCGAAAGTTTGAGGGGGGGGGGGGGTGCAAATCGAAATGTTGAGGTGGGGGGTGCAAATCAAAAGTATGAGGGGGGGGGGGGAAGTGCAAATCGAAATCTTGAGGGGGGGGGGGTGCAAATCGAAAAGTTTATTCCCGGGCGCCGGGAAGGGTCGCTACGCCTCTGGTTGAAACCGACAACTGACTAGTTTTAAAACAGTTTATAATACGTTTTCAAAGAAATGCTTTAACACCGAAGCTAAACCGATGATTGAGAGGAGAAAATAAACATAGGCTTGCAAGTTTAGCTTTAGAGAATATGTTGTTTAGAAATAAAAATCTGGAGAAGAATCTAGAGACCCCAATAACAAATGATAAAACAAGCCAAATAACTGGATTTTAAAAATCTCAAAGACATTGGTCTTTGATGTAACGTGTAAATCTACAAAGTCTTTGAAAGTCGGTTAGGGTTAATTATTGAATTTTATTTTAGGAAATCAGCTACACCCGCTAAATCACTCATTACCTAAACCTTGTAATAAATATCTAATTACTTCAACCCTTTAAATCAAGTCTCATTACCTAAACGTGGTAACAACTATCTGATTACTTAAACCCATTAAATCACGCCTCATTACCTAAACCTGTTAATAGGTATGTAATTAGCTAAACGTCCAAACAAAATTTTTCGCTGGCTTCTTTTTTTAAGCTCATAAAAACACCAATCAATAATTAATTTTTAAATACTTAAAAAATCCGAATTACTAATTAATTTTTTAACTGTGGCGAACAGATGAAAAAAAAATGCGCAGTTTAGTTAGCTAATTATTTAATATCCCCAATAAAAGATTTATACAGTACCAAATAGTGTTGATATCACAAGGAAGAATAACGGAGCCTCAGCCATGGTCATTTGACATGTTTTAAAATGGTGGGTCTTTGTGTTAGTAACCTAAGATAAGAGTTTTTTAAGTAGCTTGCTCAAGTTGCGGTGTTTTATTTAAAAAAAAAAACTTGTTAGCAAAATGAACGTTTTTCTTCATTGTACAATCTGCTTTGTTTGTGTTGTTTTTTTTTGAACGGCCAATGTAAAAAAAGGTTTCCGTGCCTACTGTTGTTACCATTATTGAATACATTGAATAAATTGAATAAATTGACGATATTTATGGTCTAGAATGTTTTTTTTAATAACTCTAATTTTAGTAATAATGGGCTTGTTGTCTGAATCCTCCACCATATTCTCAATTAAGAACGAACAAGAAGAAGAAGTAATAAGGAGATATGATGTTATTAGAATCGGATCGGATATGATATTAATAGAATGGAGTGTAATGTGCTACAAATGAGTTTCATTCCTCCTATTGTTTTAAAATTACTACTTGTTATATATTAATTTCGAGGGAACTAACTAATGCATTTTATTAGAATTAGAAACTCAAGCTTAGTGATTATTTTTGTACTTTACAACAAAAAAAAGTGTAAAAAACGATTCTTAAATGCTTTCACACTAACAACAAAGGTTGAAAGCTACCTAAACTTTATCAGAAATGTTTGCCTTTTCAAATCAGCAACGCTGAGACCGAAATTCCTATCGCAAATGAGTAAAAATGGGACAATTAAATTAAGACTAACACATGTACTTGGATCCAAACGTTTCAACGTTTCTTAGCTCGCCAGCTATTTGTCATGACAGTGACGTCAAGTAGTACTAGCTTACCTACGTACTACGTCTTACTCAATATTTTGTTTACCCTCATCTAAAAATAGACAAGCTGATTTACAAAGAAATAGAAATGGCGTACATAGTACCAGAGATAACACATTTTTAGGTTGTGTGTTTGGTCTATACATGGTGAACGTCACGATTTCGGTTACAAGGGAGGTAACTACATGATGACTATGATTAATAACCAGTTGTATCCATTGGATGTGACTTGCACCCCATCCCACGACAAAGTCCCAAAAACAATTTCTAAATTTCATAAAGTATTGTGTGAACTAATCTATTTCAGGATGGTGTGGTTGCCTGGGTCTTATGAAATTGTTTATTTAGTTAACGCATTAATTTTTGAATAACGTAAATAGCCAATTAAGTCTTTCACGTTGTGTATACCAGAGTCACTCCTCTTTGCTATTGAGGGAGTCATGATCAACCAACGACAACAGTGATTTACAACAACCATCACTGACGATACTACAACTATATAACAACTACCACTGAAAGTAACAATAACTATAAAACCATCTCTGACCATAACAACAACCATACAACAACCATCCCTGACCATAACAACAACCATACAACAACCATCACTGAAGATAACAACAGCCATCCAACAGCCATCACTGACTAAAACAACAACCATCACGGACCATAACAACAACCATACAACAGCCATCACTGACCATAACAACAACCATCTCTGACCATAACAACAACCATACAATAACCATCACTGACCATAACAACAACCATCACTGACCATAACAACAACCATACAACAACCATCACTGACCATAACAACAACCATCACTGACCATAACAACAACCATCACTGACCATAACAACAACTATAACTGACCATAACAACAACAATCATTGACGATAACAACAACCATCACTGACCAAAACAACAACCATCACTGACCATAACAACAACCATCACTGGCCATAACAACAACCATCCCTGACCATAAAAACAACAACCATCACTGACCATAACAACAACTATCCCTGACCATAACAACCATCAATGACCATAACAACAACCATCACTGACCATAACAACAACCATCACTGACCATAACAACAACCATCACTGACCATAACAACAACTATCCCTGACCATAACAACCATCAATGACCATAACAACAACCATTACTGACCATAACAACAACCATCCCTGACCATAACAACAACCATCACTGGCCATAACAACAACCATCCCTGACCATAACAACAACCATCACCGACCATAACAACAACCATCCCTGACCATAACAACAACCATCACTGGCCATAACAACAACCATCACTGACCATAACAACAACTATCCCTGACCATAACAACAACCATCACTGACCATAACAACAACCATCACTGACCATAACAACAACCATCACTGACCATAACAACAACCATCCCTGACCATAACAACAACTATCACTGGCCATAACAACAACCATCCCTGACCATAACAACAACCATCACTGACCATAACAACAACCATCCCTGACCATAACAACAACCATCCCTGACCATAACAACAACCATTACTGACCATAACAACAACCATAATACAACAATTACTGACCATACAACAACTATCACTGACCATAACAACAACCATCAATGATGGATAAGAAAATCAAACAAATGCGAAAAATATTTTAAACCAGCCTAATATAAACCCTGGATTACTTTAGCATTTAATAATAAGTTTCCCTTAAGTGTAAAGTGTATTTGTTTGAAAAATCTCACCTCAGTGATACGACTACGACTGATTGTAAATTGGAGTTTTGTGCAGAGATACCACACTACTACAACTTTATTCTTAATTGTAATGTTGTACAGGCTTCCATCCAACACAATTAAGTATTACATGTCAATATGTTATGTTTTGTGTCGTTACAAAAACCGTTACCTGTTTGAATGACGTAATTAGCCAATTGTTATGTCTTTACAAAGACCTTTACTATACGACTACGTCGAATTATAACTTATGTCGTTAAGTAATGACGCAATGACAATAACAGGCGAGAGGTAGAATAATAGCGTAAGTCAAGCAGAACCAATAGAATTGCAGTGGAACGAACTGACCGGTCACGTGAGGCAGTCAGCTGACCAAGCATCAGGCATTAGCAGTTGAGAAAAAGTTTAACAGCAGAGAGCACCACGTGCAGTGGCGTAGCGAGGTCGGGTGTCACCCGGTGCGGCACTTAATGGTGTCACCCCCCCAGAGGCATAGAGACCCTTCCCAGGGACAAAGTTTCAAGTTTTCGATTTGCACCCCCCCCCCTCAAACTTTCGATTTGCACCCCCCCCCCCTCGAGTTTTCGATTTGCACCCCCCCCCCTCAAACTTTCGATTTGCACCCCCCCCCTCGAGTTTTTCTCTATATATTTTGCTATTTTTTGCCTTGGTGTCACCCCCCTAAATGGTGTCACCCGGTGCGGTCCGCACCCCCCGCCCCCCCCCTCGCTACGCCCCTGACCACGTGACACCATCAAGCTGACAGTCGTGTGTTAGAAAGCAGTTGTAGATTGATATTGTTTGGAAAAAGTTTAGTTGGACTTAAAGATTAGTTAGAGTATAGTTAAGATAGTAAAAGTAGGGTACAGTACAGTATGGTAGGAGTAAGATATTGTTATGTGTACATAAAGTATAACAGCCTACATCTCGGATAGGACTTGGCATTGATTTCGCACACTGTGTTACGCTATGGAAGGGTCTATCCCCCAACAACACTATATAGTACACATTACGTGTACGCTATATAACACATCATTATCGCCCCCCCCCCATACACACACACGGCACTAAGACACTTACCATACGCCTACGTCTAATTATGACTTGGTAGTCCGTACATGAGGCCTTCGCGTGAACGGAGGCGGTACCGGCTGTCTGGGTCGGGGTGGGGGCGGGATTGGTGGCGGCCTCAGCCCCCCAGGTGGGATGATGACAAACGGCATCACCCGCGGTGGCCCCAGCATCAGAACAGCGTTCGTTGAAAATAATCGGTTCTGGAACGTCACTTGTATGGGAGCTGAAAACAAAATGCCAAGACAACGGTAGATGAAAATATGTGGACAAATTCTGTTTTAAAGTAAACATTCTTGTATCCAGGCATAATCCTCTTTTTTTTTTAAAGCTATTGTATACATTAAACAGGCAAATGCAAAACAAATTTTTTTCTGTACTTATTATTTAAAACTATTTTAAAACAAAACGCCAATCCAAGATTACAACGAAACAAATAGCCAATCCAAGATTTTTGTATCATATTGCATTATTACAATTATCTAAACACGCATTTTTTTTAAAGAACAAGGTTCATTTCAACATCAATAAATTAACCAGGCAAATGCAAAACATTTTTTCTGTACTTAATATTTAAAACTATTACAAAACAAAACGCCAATCCAAGATTATAACGAAATAAATAGCCAATCCAAGATTTTCGTATCATACTGCATTATTACAATTATCTAAACACGCATTTTTTTAAAGAACAAGGTTCATTTCAACAACAATAAAAAAAAAAAAAAACAAATAAAACATTATAATTGTAAGTACATTCAAGAGAGGGTCACTTACGAGGGGGCTGAATGATGTACTCGATGAAATTATCAACCCCGAACTTGCAAGCGAAGAAAAAAAAAGCTCGACACAGGAGAGTGAGGAGAATGTACTAGAAGCTGTAGATAAAGGAAAATTAGGATGATAAGGTGAATACACTAGTAGTTGTAGATGAAGGAAAATTAGGATGATAAGGTGAATACACTAGTAGTTGTAGATGAAGGAAAATTAGGATGATAAGGTGAATACACTAGTAGTTGTAGATGAAGGAAAATTAGGATGATAAGGTGAATACACTAGTAGTTGTAGATGAAGTAAAATTAGGATGATAAGGTGAATACACTAGTAGTTGTAGATGAAGGAAAATTAGGATGATAAGGTGAATACACTAGAACCTGTAGATGAAGGAAAATTAGGATAGAGAGGTGAATACAATAGAACTTGTAGATGAAGGAAAATTAGGATGATAAGGTGAATACACTAGTAGTTGTAGATGAAGGAAAATTAGGAAAGAGAGGTGAATACAATAGAAGTTGTAGATAAAGCAAAATTAGGATGATAAGGTGAATACACTAGTAGTTGTAGATAAAGGAAAATTAGGATGATAAGGTGAATACACTAGTAGTTGTAGATAAAGGAAAATTAGGATGATAAGGTGAATACACTAGCAGTTGTAGATGAAGGAAAATTAGGATGATAAGGTGAATACACTAGTAGTTGTAGATGAAGGAAAATTAGGATGATAAGGTGAATACACTAGTAGTTGTAGATGAAGGAAAATTAGGATGATAAGGTGAATACACTAGTAGTTGTAGATGAAGTAAAATTAGGATGATAAGGTGAATACACTAGTAGTTGTAGATGAAGGAAAATTAGGATGATAAGGTGAATACACTAGAACCTGTAGATGAAGGAAAATTAGGATAGAGAGGTGAATACAATAGAACTTGTAGATGAAGGAAAATTAGGATGATAAGGTGAATACACTAGTAGTTGTAGATGAAGGAAAATTAGGAAAGAGAGGTGAATACACTAGTAGTTGTAGATAAAGGAAAATTAGGATGATAAGGTGAATACACTAGTAGTTGTAGATGAAGGAAAATTAGGATGATAAGGTGAATACACTAGTAGTTGTAGATGAAGGAAAATTAGGATGATAAGGTGAATACACTAGTAGCTGTAGATGAAGGAAAATTAGGATAGAGAGGTGAATACAATAGAACTTGTAGATGAAGGAAAATTAGGATAGAGAGGTGAATACAATAGAAGTTGTAGATGAAGGAAAATTAGGATAGAGAGGTGAATACAATAGAAGTTGTAGATAAAGGAAAATTAACATGATAAGGTGAATACACTAGAACCTGTAGATGAAGGAAAATTAGGATAGAGAGGTGAATACAATAGAACTTGTAGATGAAGGAAAATTAGGATAGACAGGTGAATACACTAGAAGCTGTAGATGAAGGAAAATTACGAAAATAAGGTGAATACACTAGAATCTGTAGATGAAGGAAAATTAGGAAAGACAGGTGAATACAATAGAAGCTGTAGATGAAGGAAAATTAGGATAGTTTCCCATGTCAAGTTTAGGTAACCATTTACACTAAGCCTAAGTTAGTCCAAACATAACAATGAGTCAACTTACCAAAACAGAAAACATGGGTCTTATTAACACGTCGACAAGTCGTACCGAAAGTGTTCATGGTATTTCAATCCTACCACGAAATTCTAACCATGACCTGACCCTATCCCAATCCCTATCCCTAACCACAACCTAAACATTAAGCTTAACCTTAACCCTATCCCTACCCCTATCCCTACCCCTATCCCTATCCCTACCCCTACCCCTACCCCTACCCCTACCCCTACCCTTATCCCTAACACTATATCAACCCAATTGGTACGGTACTGCCTACCGGCGTGTTAATAAGACGAATGGCCAGGAGCTGCGATAGAAACCAAACATAAAGGGTCAGGAAATCCATTGTGGCAAGGGGCGGACCAAGACTTGTACGGATCTGTGAACAAACATTGCAACATTAACGGCAGTGAGTTGAGCTTGGCTTTGTCTGAGGGCAATCGTTATTTACTCACATGTAAAGCGATGTCGTGACCTTTTCTGTCAGTAACCTGAGATGTCGTGACCTTTCAGTTAGTAAAGTGATGTCGTGACCTTTCTGTCAGTAAAGGGATGTCGTGACTTTTTCTGTCAGTAAAGCAACGTCGTGACCTTTTCTGTCAGTAAAGCGATGTCGTGACCTTTCTGTCAGTAAAGCGATGTCGTGACCTTTTTGTCAGTAAAGCGATGTCGTGACCTTTTACTGTCAGTAATGCGATGTCGTGACCTTTTCTATCAGTAAAGCGATGTCGTGACCTTTTACTGTCAGTAAAGCAATGTCGTGACCTTTCTGACAGTAATGCGATATGTCATGACCTTTTCTCTCAGTAAAGCGATGTCGTGACCTATTCTGTCAGTAAAGCAATGTCGTGACCTTTTCTGTCAGTAAAGCAATGTCGTGACCATCAGTAAAGTGATGTCGCGACCTATTCTGTCAGTAAAGCAATGTCGTGACCTTTTCTGTCAGTAAAGCAATGTCGTGACCATCAGTAAAGTGATGTCGTGACCTTTTAAGTCAGTAAAGCAATGTCGTGACCTTTCTGACAGTAAAGTGAGATGTCATGACCTTTTCTGTCAGTAAAGCGATGTCATGACCTTTCTGTCAGTAAAGCAATGTCGTGACCTTGCTGACAGTAACGCGAGAAGTCATGACCTTTTCTGTCAGTTAAGCGATGTCGTGACCTTTTCTGTCAGTAAAGCAATGTCGTGACCATCAGTAAAGTGATGTCGTGACCTTTTAAGTCAGTAAAGCAATGTCGTGACCTTTCTGACAGTAACGCGAGATGTCGTGACCTTTTTTGTCAAAAAAGTGATGTCGTGAGCTTTTCTGTCAGTAAAACCATGTCGTAACCTATTCTGTCAGTAAAACGATGTCGTGACCTTTTCTGTCAGTAAAGCGATGTCGTGACCTTTTCTGTCTGTAAAGCGATGTCGTGACCTTTCTGACAGTAACGCAATGTCGTGACCTTTCTGACAGTAACGCGAGATGTCATGACCTTTTCTGTCAGTAAAGCGATGCCGTGACCTTTTCTGTCAGTAAAGCAATGTCGTGACCATCAGTAAAGTGATGTCGTGACCTTTTAAGTCAGTAAAGCAATGTCGTGACCTTTCTGACAGTAACGCGAGATGTCATGACCTTTTCTGTCAGTAAAGCCATGTCGTGACCTTTCTGTCAGTAAAGTGATGTCGTGACCTTTTCTGTCAGTAAAGCAATGTCGTGACCTTTCTGACAGTAACGCAAGATGTCGTGACCTTTTTTGTCAATAAAGTGATGTCGTGACCTTTTCTGTCAGTAAAACCATGTCGTGACCTATTCTGTCAGTAAAACGATGTCGTGACCTTTTCTGTCAGTAAAGCGATGTCGTGACCTTTTCTGTCAGTAAAGCAATATCGTGACCTTTCTGACCTTATATCAGTGTCAGAACCTCCATGTCAGGTATGCAATATCGTCCCTTTTCTTTCAGCGATTTTGGGACCTTTGTGGTGTGAATTCAATGTCGAGATCTTTCTTACGGTAAACACTTTTTCGGAACTTTCAGAAAAGGAAAGGAAAATAATGATATTAATAATTATAAAAAGAACATTAACATCCAGCTCAGATGGGTACCTGATTTTATCATATCCTTTGAGTACACTCAGCTCAGATGGGTACCTGATTTTATCATATCCTTTGAGTACACTCAGCTCAGATGGGTACCTGACTTTATCATATCCTTTGAGTACACTCAGCTCAGATGGGTACCTGACTTTATCATATCCTTGAGTCAACTCAGCTCAGATGGGTACCTGACTTTATCGTATCCCTTGAGTCAACTCAGCTCAGATGGGTACCTGACTTTATCGTATCCCTTGAGTCCACTCAGGTCAAATGGGTAACTGGGGTTATCACTATCCTGAGTTTACCCAACCAAGGGAAATTCGCCACTCGAGCTGTTCATATGCCGAGGTAAACTCTACTTCACCTGCCCTATGGACCGTCAGGTCCGAGAAGTAATAGCTACTTCAATGTCTTTCATTTAAAAAAAAATACAACACGATATGGTAATAAGGCATTACAATACCTGTTGTAACTGACGTAGTGACGGAGGGAAAAGGGGGGGGGGAGTTGTTAATTGACAGGGGTTAATATCAGATTTTGGGCTAGGAACGGATAATAATAATCAATTAATTTCATTAAAGAAAATTGCTTTGACATTAAGAGACACGTTAAGAGCCGGAACGAATAGACTCGTATCTCGATGTACCACTGTATTAATAATGTCGACAGAACACTCTATCTAGATTGTAGATAGATCTAGATCTATGTCTGTTCGCTGGCAGTAATGTTCTTTTAGCCATTCAGTCTGTCTTCTTATTAAAATATTACCACATTAGATCTAGACTTGCATTTCTTCATTTTAGTGTTATTGAGTCTACTGCTAGATCTAGAAATGGTTGAGTGAGACCCCTTCTCAAGTCATTTCAATAAAAATCAACTCACATTTTACAATGTAATTAAATACAAACTGCCCAAGAAAATAGTCGTCAAGTACTAGATCTAGATCCAGATTCTAGTTCTACTTACAGAAAGTCAAGCGCCAACTTCCGATGTTACGACTGTTGACGTTGACGTTCTATGTCATCAAAATTTGGGTAAACACAATTTTGAAATGCAAAGAAAATGACGTCATTAATAGAAGTGTAGAACGGAAGAAATCTCTTAAATCACTAAAATTAATTCTTTTTATAATTTTAAATTGGTCAAAGTTCAAATGTGTACGTGAAAAAAAATATATAAAAAATAATTCGCACTAACTTCAAAATAGATAACAAACTTTTTAAACCTGTTTAAGGTAATAATTATTAACATAAATTCATCATACCCTAAACTTTAGAGCGTCAATGATAATTTTCGTGGAATGTTTGAATGAAGTTTCACTTCCCACAGGTTACGAAAAATAAAAATTTCATCATCCTTATCTGTTTTATACACGTGAATAACAAAATAAACAACAACAAAAACAAAGTGACACGTATTTACAGTCCTATCTTTGTTTTGTAACGTGTTTGGTTTTCAGAACATCATGCGTGTTTACATCTCAATAGGGCCTATATTGTTTCTCTAGTGCTTAGGCTTAATGCAGTAGCGTAGCGAGGGGGGGGGGGGGGACATATGTCCCCGGGCGCCGACCTTAGGGGGCGCCAAAATGGGTTGGAAAGATAAATTGAAAGGTTGAGGGGGGTGGAAATGGAAATCTCTAGGGGGGGGGGGGGGGGGGGTGGGGTGCAAATCGAAAAGTTTGTCCCCGGGCGCCGGGAAGGGTCGCTACGCCTCTGGCTTAATGATTGAGGTATGTAGTGTTTCTTGACTGTTTAGACCTAATCACTGTTTCTGTAGGCTTAGCTCTTGGATGGTTTCTTAATGTTTAGGCCTTTAGTGTCTTTAGGCCAAACGATTGTTTGTGGGTTTTTAGGCAATTAAGAATATTCATCGGTGTTTAGGCCCAACACGCTTTTTGAATGTTTGGACCCAACAGAGGCGTTGGTGTGTATGTCACTTGACATATTTTTGTGTGTTTAGACCTAGTGGTTTCTTTCGTGAATTTAGACGAATTGATGCTTCTTGCTGGTTCAGGGGCTATAGTGCCGCCCCACCCACTACTTTTACATAAAAATTTATGAGAAAGTTTAATGAATATGGTGCCATCTCAACCCCTACCGTTATATAAGAATTTGCGAGAAAGTTTAGAAGAGCTCACTCATGTGTTATTGTTTGAAAGGAATACACATCTTGAGATTTATAACTGAACGAGAAATGATAATTCATTTTGGTAAACCACACTTCCGGAAATTTCAAAGGGAAAAATGTAAAAACAAATGCGTAAAAGTCAAATCTCGATAGATTTCCTTCCGTGCAAACAAAATGTACCCACTTGTTGTATAATTGTTAAGGTAATGATGTCACCACATTATCTAGAACAAAACAGGACTAATCTCAATACAAAATACAAACTAAAAAAACAACAACAAACAAACAAACAAACAACAGCTGATCTCACCTAAGGATTTGATAACACAGAATTATACGTGCTCCATTGAGTTTATTGTTGTGTAAACAGTACAAGTAAAAGTACTAAAGAGGAAGTAAACAAAGGGGGTTAACGCATACAGAACAAAATTATTGAACTTAGTTAAAATTAAAGTAAAAGCAGCTTAATTATACAATTACCATTTTAATATTTTAACCATATTTTGGAAAATTACAAAAACATGTTTCCAGTTACAAATATAATTACATCAAATGCACTAATTAATAAAGCTGATCAAGCCTGTGAAAGAAACATATTTTATTATAAAATAGTACCGTGTTGATAGACTGAGAATATTCAGAAAGGCAAAATTACTTAACACAATGGTAACTTGCAATTTTGTGTACCAATTAACACACAACTATTTAAGATAGTAACTAGTATTGCAAAAAGCTTATATATATATATATATATATATATATATATATATATATATATATATATATATATATATATATATATATATATATATATATATATATATACATATACATATACACATATATATATATATATATATATATATATATATATATATATATATATATATATATATATATATATATATATATATATATATATATATATATATATATATATATATATATATATATATATTAGTATTTATATATGTTTGTGTGTTTTTATTTTTATATATAATTATGGGATTTAAAAAAAAAATAGCCAATAATTAACAGGATTAAAATAGAAATACCCCTTTTATGGGAGTTTTTTTTAAGACTTCGATAAGGAAAAAAAAGCAGTAGCCATTAATTAACAGGATTCAAATAGAAATACCCCTATCACAATCCAAGAAATAAAACGTGCAGTTAT